TCGGGAGCCGAAGCCGAATCGGACCCGAACCCGTCGAAATCGCACCGAACCGAGCCAGCGGCAGCGGGATGCGCCCCTGCCACACCGCTGGAGAGCTCACCCCGCACACCGCACTGCCACACCGCCCGCTGGCGAGATGCGCCCTGCCGCACCGCAGGCGATCAATTCTGGGCTGCTCACCCCGCCCGCTCCCGGCCCCCCGAGGGGGGGGGGGGGGGCGGGGCATACCCCCGAGCCTGCGACATCGTGTGCTGGGAGCCCGCCGGCGCGCTCACCAGCACGGGGGCCGTCATGGAGATGGCCTCGGGGGTTGGCGGCACCAGCTGCACGGAGAGACGGGGCGGCCAGCACAGTCAGACCTGGGCTTACGTTGGGCATGTCCAGCTACAGGGACGTGGCCGACTTAAGCACAGTCGGACCTGGGCCAGAAGAACACCCTTCAAGAACGTGACACCCTCCGTCGGCCAGAGCTAACAGAACGTCCAAAGGCACCCTCCCTGGGATGCGCAAGAAAACTTGAAAACCCAACAGCCCCGAAGAATACTGGGGCACCCTCCCCGAACCGGCCTCGATCTCATACCTCGCTCCGACTGCAGAGGGAGACCCTGACCTCCAACGTTTTCTGAGAACCCGCTTTTTTATCATTCCCGAGAACGCCCGTGACCGGCCCTGCCTCGCCCTCCCTGCCCCTCCCCCAGGTCACGTCACGATTCGCGCTGGCGCACTCTCAGGAGGAGCCTGTCCTTGGAATTCCTAGACAGCGCCGGCACGAATCGTGGCGAGAGGTAAACAAGATGGAAGCACTGAGAAACGAAGAGCGCGGGGGAACAGATAAAAGAGGAAGGAGGAAATTAGGGAGAGGAGGATGGGGGGAGCATGGATGGAAGAGGGAGGCGAGGACGAGGAGGTATGAGGGAGGGAGACGGGGGAGAGGAGCATAGGAGGATGACGAGGGCGAGGACCACAACAACAAGGACACCGCAGGCCGCGAGAGAGAATCGGAGGACGAGAGGTGCAGATAAAGGGGGACGAGGAGCACGACGGCGATGCCGCGGACGGGGAGGCAGGAGCAGAGAGGAGCTGGACGGACGTAGGGGCAGGAGGGAGGGAGGAAAAGGATACCCGGGGGAGGAGGACCCCCGGACCATCAGAGAGCGTCCGCAGGACGGTGACTCGGACGCTGGGCCGGGTTCGCGACGCGTGGCCTCTTGAGGCCTGGGCCTGCAGGATGCCGCCGAGAGGGAAACCCTCGAGGGGTGCGTTCGGGACGAGGCAAACGGGTAGTCCTCGGGCCACACTGAAGGGGCCCTGGGACACACAAATAAACACACACACACACACAACTAACTGGACTCCCCACATCTTCCCCTCTCTTCTGGGCTTTTGCCTTCCCCCCGGCTTCCCATATTTTCTCATATCTTCCCGGGAAGCGACGATTACTTGTGCCTGTGTGTGCTTTTCCCCTCCCTGACACAAGATGGCCTGGAAAGCCAACCAGGCCGGCAGGGCGGAGAGGAGGGAGGAGCCGTGCCAGCGGAGCAGGGCGACCGCCAGACCCTGCCTCCGCGGGGCGGCTCCATGACTCGAGCGCTCCCGGCGCGCACCGGGAGGCCGGCGCCGCGGAGAACCGGTGTGAACGGCCACGCCCGGAGGCAAAGACGGCAACGAGGGCGACGACGAACGACGATGGCAACGACGACGACGAAGGGCAGCCAGAGGAGGCAAGAGACGGGGCGGGCGACTACGGTGGAAACCCATGTAAAGAAACACCCTGCGTGCCTCGAGGGTGCCATGGATTTTCTGGAGGTTCGATGGTCTTGCTACGGAAAGCGGGACGTTCCCACGCCAAAGATCAATGGACGTCCTGGGGTCGCAGGGTTGATTTTCTTGCGGAAGGCTTCCTGCGTTCGAGATCCTGCTGCAGGGGGGACAACACAAAACGGTCAACGAATCGGCGAATGTCCGCCCTTTGTGGCTGTCTGTCCCGGCCGCTCCCGGCGCTGGAGGAGCCCACATAAGCATCGAGGAGAGCGCCCCGGAGGGGGGGCGGAGCCGAACAACCCAACCGCACGCGGCAGCGTTCGTGAGCCACCGTGTTCGTTGTCCAGCGGCCGGGCCCGAAGCGGGCCCCCCCGCGGATCTCGCCATCGCTCAAACGTCCATTCCACGTACGTGTTTGTTCGGCTCCGTGCGTGCATGTGTGCGAGATCCATGCACGCGGCACGCGGCAGCTTCTGTGCGCCACCGCTTTCCCAGCGGCCAGGCCCGAAACAGGGCCCCCGCAGATCTTGGCATCGCTCGCACGTCCATTCCACGTGCATTTATTCGACCTCGTGCGTGCTTTATGGTTTGGCCAGGGTAATCCAAGCGATGCCAAAATGTGGGAAAATGCAGAACACCTCTTCGAGCATACCCACCCATTCTTCTTTTCGCCCGATCCGAAGGATCGGCGGCGAGCGAGGGGGGGAAGCGCGAAGGAGAAGGCCTTCTCAGCAGGCGGCGGGACTTCTCAGAGGCACTCAGCGCCTCCTGCGAATTTGTGGTTTGTGCCTTCGGGGAGGGCGTCCAGGAACTTCTGAGAGGGCCGGGGAACTTCCGGGCCTTCTGCGAAGGCCCTGTCCTTCTCACGTCCTCCCCTCGCCCGCCGCCGAGAGTTCTGTTGCTTCCATCGCACTCACGGGCCACATCCCAGACATAATTTCGAGCACACAGAAAAGTGTCGAAAGGGTGTCGAAACAGTGTCGCCTCCCAGGGCCCGACACTAACAACAACCCAAGTTTAGGTACCTTCTGGGTGCTCGAGATTCTTTCTGGTGATCGAGGCTAAAGTAGGTCGGAGCATCATAACTTCTCACGTCCTGCCCTCGCCCGCCGCCGAGAGGAGGGAGGCAGCAGGACCGCCACGAGCAAGAGAATCGGCGGTGGACAATCCTCCCTTTAATAAGCCTCCCCTTTGTGAAAACGGCATTGGATCGAAACGGACGGACCTGGACCCGCAAAAAAATGACTAGGGGAGCAGAAAATAACAGAAGCATAAAAACTCGGAGGTCCGCGCGGATTTCTGGGATCGGCGCTAGACCCCCCCCCTGGCGCGCGGAGCGCGCCAGGGGCGGCGCCGGAAGCGCCGCCAGGGGGCCTCAGCGCCGATCCGAGCAATCCGCGCGGAACTCCGAGTGTTTATGTTTATGTCATTGTTCGTTCTCCGAATGACGGCCGCGACGCCCTCTCGCGAACCGAAAACTGCCAATTCGTAATCGACGTGTCAGGGGCAGGAGGCCTGTCCACCTCCGAGAAAAAGGGCGGCACTGCCGCCACCGGCACCGAGGCGCTGGGGAGGGCCCTCCTGGCGAGTGCGGCCCCGCGCCCTCGCTGGGGACGCCCCCTGTTGGCAGCTATAGCTCGGGCCTGTCCCCCCTGCAAGGGGATTTTGGGTGAAAAACTAGAGATGCTCCGGAAACATATTCAAAACAAATGCTCAAACATAATCGAAACATCGTCCCCAAACCATTTGTTTCTGAAGATTTCCCCTGTAGAAGGGCAGGCCCGACTTAATACCGGCTCGGGGCGACATCGCGCACCCCCTCGCCGGAGGCTGCCCCCATGGCCCATAGTGGTGCTCATGTCGCCTCTCCTCCGTCCGAGCACGCGGGCAACGCCAAGGGGGGTCACCACTGGAGGGGTCGCCGTTTTCTGGAGGAAGCGCCGTTTCCTCAATGAACTGGGGCATCTCGGAACACTCCAGAACCTCCCGAAAACGACACCAAACGTCCAAAACAACCTCCTCGAGCTTCCATCTCGGAAGCTCGATTCTGAGGCTGAACCGGTGCCCCCCGTATTTCCACGCCCGAAACGGATACGGATAAACATGGGTGCGATGCCCAACAGCGAATGTAGTATCCTGGCGAAGGACCCAAACATATGAAGTTGTGGGTACCGCAATTGTGAATATCTTCTTCGGTGAAGCTTCCTATGGGGCCACAAAGCGCTGTGCTGGGCAGAAAGGAACGCATGCGGGCGGTAGCACTGGGGCCGTCGGTGAAGCTCCATATGAGGCCACGAAACGCTGCACTGGGTGGGTGAAAAATACCAAAATAAGCGTGTGGGACGCATGCGCGCGTTCCCATTGGGGGCTTCGGTGGAGCTCCCCATGGGGCCGCGAAGCGTTGTAAAGGGTTGGGGAAAATGCCAAATTGGGTGTGGGGGGGACGCATGCGGGCGGTACCACTGGGGGCTTCGTTGGAGCTATCTGTGGGGCCACGAAGCGCTGTACTGGGTCGGCTAAAATGCCAAATTGGGTGTTGGGGAGGGACGCATGCGGGCGGTCCCACTGGAGGCTTCGGTGGAGCTCCATGTGGGGGACGCATGCGGGCGGTCCCACTGGGGGCTTCGGTGGAGCCCCCTATGGGGCCACGAAGCGCTGTACTGGGCCGGCGAAAATGCCAAATCGGGCATGGTGGACACACGCGAGCGTCCCATTGGGGGCTTCGGTGGAGCTCCCTATGGGGCAAAAGCGCTGTACTGGGTGCGTGACAATGTCAAATCGGGTGTGGGGCACGCGTTCGGACGGTCCCACTGAGGGTTTCGGTGGGGCTCCCCATGGGGCCACGAAGCGCTGTACTGGGTGGGTGACAATGCCAAGCTGGGTGTGGGGGACGCATGCGGGCAGTCCCACTGGGGGCTTCGGTGGAGCTCCCTATTGGGCCACGAAGCGCTGTACTGGGTCTGTGAAAATGCCAAATTGGATGTGGGGGACGCATGTGGGCGGTCCCACTGGGGGCTTCGGTGGTGCTCCCCATGGGGTCACGAAGCGCTGTACTGGGCCGGTGAAAATGCCAAATTGGGCGTGGGGGCGCATGCGGGCGGTCCCACTGGGGGCTTCGGTGGGGCTCCCTATTAGGCCACGAAGCGCCGTACTGGGCCGGTGAAAATGCCAAATTGGGTGTGGTGGACGCATGCGGGCGGTCCCACTGGGGGCTTCGGTGGTGCTCCCTATGGGGTCACGAAGCGCTGTACTGGGCCGGTGAAAATGCCAAGTTGGGTGTGGGGGGCGCATGCGGGCAGTCCCACTGGGGGCTTCGGTGGGGCTCCCTATTGGGCCACGAAGCGCTGTACTGGGTCTGTGAGAGTGCCAAATTGGATGTGGGGGACGCATGTGGGCGGTCCCACTGGGGGGTTTCGGTGGAGCTCCCTATGGGGCCACGAAGCGCTGTGCTGGGTGGGTGACAGTGCCAAGTTGGGTGTGGGGGAAGCGTGCCAGTGGTCCCACTGGGGGCTTCGGTGGGGCTCCCTATTGGGTCACGAAGCGCTGTACTGGGCGGGTGAAAATGCCAAATGGGATGTGGGGGACGCATGCGGGCGGTACCACTGGGGGCTTGTGTGGGGCTCCCCATGGGGCCACGAAGCGCTGTACTGGGTGACAATGCCAAGTTGGGTGTGGGGGACGGCCACGAAGCGCTGTACTGGATAGGTGACAGTGCCAAATTGGGTGTGGGGGACGCATGCGGGCGGTCCCACTGGGGGCTTCGGTGAAGCTCCCTATGGGGTCACGAAGCGCTGTGCTGGGTGGGTGACAGTGCCGAGTTGGGTATGGGGGCCGCATGCGGGCGGTCCTTGGGGGCTTCGGTGGGGCTCCCGATTAGGTGAAAATGCCCAATTGGATGTGGGGGACGCATGTGGGCGGTACCACCGGGGGCTTCGGTGGAGCTCCCTATGGGGCCACGAAGCGCTGTACTTGGTGGGTGACAGTGCCAAATTGGGTGTGGGGGACGTATGCGGGCGGTCCCACTGGGGGTTTCGGTGGGGCTCCCACGAAGCGCTGTACTGGGTGGGTGAAAATACCAAATTGGATGTGGGGGACGCATGTGGGCGGTACCACTGGGGGCTTCGGTGGAGCTCCCTATGGGGTCACGAAGCGCTGTATTTAGGGGGTGGAAATGCCAATGTGGGTGTGGGGGACGCATGCGGGCGGTCCCACTGGGGGTTTCCGTGGAGCTTCCCATGGGGCCACGAAGCGCTGTACTGGGTGGGTGACAATGCCAAGTTGGGTGTGGGGGGCGCATGCGGGCGGTCCCACTGGGGGCTTCGGTGGAGCTCCCACTGGGGCCACGAAAAACTGTGCTGGGTGGGTGAAACGCATGGAAGGAGGAGGAGGGAGGGGAGGAGGAGGAAGAGGAGGAGAGGAGAGGAGAGGAGGAGCGCGGGGCGACGTCTCTTCAAAACGAGCACCCAACACCACAGGATGGTTGGGAACAAGAGCGTCCGCTGTTTGGCAGCCGACCTGTTCCTTGGGTGAATGGACCACGTCCGCGGCGACGCCGGCAACGAACCCTGTCCCGAATGGGAGACGAACTGCCGTCCATCGTCGTTCCCATGTTTCTCGCATCCGTTCCGACTATGCCGATCCTGGTTGGCTCCCCCACTTGCGACTGCCCCAGAGAATAAGGAGGACGGGACGGCACGGCCTCAGGGGCGCCCTGCGGCTGCGGGGAGACGAGGACGGGCGCCGTCATCGCGATGGGCTGGGCGCTGGCGCCGCCGGCCGCCGTGTTCTGGGGAGTGCCTGCAGGGAGCGCGTGCCATGCAGAGCATATGAAAGACTCGTTCAGCGTGAGAGGTGGAGGGCGAGATGGACCGCGAGTGGGAGAGAGAGAGAGAGGGAAGCAGTGGCAAAGAGAGAGGGCGAGAGGAAGAGAGCGAGAGAGAGAGAACGAGAGAGAGAGAGAGATAATACAACAAAAAAATAAGCAACCATATAGAAACCGAGAGAGAGGGAACCAAATATAGAAAGCGAGAGAGAGAGAGAGAGCGAGAGGATCAACAAGAAGGAGAACAAGAGAGAATATAGAGACATGACTATACATGTCAACTGCAACTAGACTATATAGTGACCGAGCAAGCTAGAGAGAGAGAGAGAAAAAGAGAGAGAGAGGGGGGTGGGAGAGAAGTAGAGAGAAAGAGAGATAACAAACAACACAAACAAACAAACGAAACACAATAACATCACAAAAAGGGAAACAGGGAGAGAGAGATAACAAACAACACAAGATAGATGTGCGAACGTCATATGTCACGTCCAACCCCTCCCTCCCACCTCTTACCATAGCGTGTATCTCCTCTCTGTTCACGCAATAAGATATCGAGAAGGACGATGCTCCCGAGAGGGTACGCGATGCATGGTTGAGCACGGCATAGCATGGCGCAGAAGAGCCTGCCACAGCGAAGCGTGTCAGAGCATCGCGAGGTAAATCCATACGTCACGAAACATTGGAAAACAAAGCATGGCATTGGAAAGAAGGACAAAACACAACCCCGCGGAGCATGCCACAGCATGGCGGGTCCTGTGTCAGTGGATAGTCTGGGTGCGGCCTGGCCTGCTAGAGCTGCCCACTCACCGGCAACCCGCGCGGGTCGCCGGTGACCCTCCCGCGTCCCCACTGGCTCTCCTCGTAAAACCCACGGGACGCCTGGGGTGGCTGCTTGGGCAAATATGCGGGTGTGATCGTTTTATGGGCTTGGTTGGGTTACAGCACGTTGTCGCAGCTCTTTGGGGCGTGTCCACTTTGGCGGAGCACTTGTTGAAGGTTTTCGCCTGCCGGACTTTAGGGGTATCTGTTCTGGAGGAACTCAGGGGGTGCTCAATTTGGCAGACATTGTGGGGTGCTCGTTTTGACAAATCTGTCAGCTGTTAGTTGTTTAAGGATCTTTGGGAGTGACAGTTTTGGCGAATATTGGGGGGTGTTCGTTTGGGCGGGTTTCTGAGAGGGGCCATATTGAAAGAGCTTGGGCTGGGGAATTAAGCTAAATATGAAGCGAGACCGCCACTCTGAAATGAAAGGCAACATCCGGATTGGGAAACGCACAAGCAAGCATAACTAATGCACATCGCGAGCGAAATTAACATAAGCGGAATGGGAGCGTGAACGTCGAACATGTAAGGAAAAAAACATGGGAGAAACCGAACAGCTGAATACTGAATGATTCATCCCACCAGCCCTCTGGGCGTAGGTGGTCTACCGGGATTATTTCTTTCCTCTTCCAGAACCCCCTCTTTCCCCTTCGGGGAGGGGTTAATCACGGTTCCCTATCAGTGAACACCCCTTCCCCCAGGCGACTGGTAGCCGACCGTGAACCATGAGGGCACCCCCATCCACCATCCCTTGTAAACGCAAGCGAAAAACAATGCAAAACACACTCTGCCTCCAGCTTCGGATCATGCGCAGCCAAACCGATGCGGGCCCCCCCCCCCCATCCCTTGTCAACAAACAATACAGAGTACATTTGGCGGCGGCGGCGGCGGCTGCGGCGGCGGCTGCGGTTGCGGCGGCGGTGGCGGTGGCTGCGGCGGCTGCGGCTGCGGCGGCGGGGACGGCGGCGGCGGCGGCGGCGGGGGCGGCGGCGGCGGCGGCGGCGGCGTGGCGGCGGCGGCTGCGGGCAGCGGCTGCGGCGGCGGCGATTTGGCGGCGGCGGCGGCGGCGGGCGGCGGCGCGGCGGCGGCCGCGGCGGCGAAAGCGGCGGCGGCGGCGGCGGCGCGGCGGCGGGCGGCGGCGGGCAGCGGCGGCGGCGGTGGTGGCGGCGGCTGGGGCGGCGGCGGTGGCGGCGGATTGGCCCCCACTAGCTGCCCATCCAAAACAGACTGCTGAATATGCTGAGGCTCGGGCCAAGCTCGGGTGCCACGTATGTGTTGGGAAGGCGGGTGGGAGTGCGCGAGACGGCTTGCGGGCGGGGAGGGAGTATTGATCACTGTTCCCTATTAGTAAACACCCCCTCCCCCAGAATAATGGTAGCCAACCAAGAGCCATGCGGGCACTCCCCCACCATCCCTTTGCCAAAAACCCATGCGAACACACACTCTGCCTGCAAATCCGAGCATGCGCAGCCAAACCGATGCGGCCTCCCCACACCATCCCTGTCAACGAACCAGTACAAATACACTGGCTACAAGAGGGTCCCAAGAGGGCCCCAAAGGGCACCCGAGACGCCCCCAAGAGGCCCCCGAACGGACTCAGAGAGCCCAAGATGACCTCCAAGATGGCTCAGGTAGCCCAAACTGGCTCGAGATGGCTCCTCAAATGCTCCAAACGGCCCGAAAACCGCTCCAAAAGCGCCCACAAGTGCTCCAAGAGAGCCCAAAGAAGCGGGTTGCCGGCTCCTGAGGGGGAGCTGAGTTGGGGACCCCCCCGTCCTGTTCTCAGATGATCCCAAGAAGCCTTCCAGGGTTCCCAAGAGGGTTCCCAAGAGGGCACCCACAACTCCCAGAAAACACCAGCAGCAGCAGCTGCAATAATCCCTAGAAGGTTCCATGAGTCCTCGCTTGCGTCGTCCTCATCCTAATCCTCGTCCTCCTCGTCCTCGTCCTCAGCTGCGTCCTCGTCCTCCTATTCATATTCGTCCTCATTATCCTTCTGCTCCTCCTCCTCCTCCTCCTCCTCCTCCTCCTCTTCCTCTCGCCCCCACGCGGCCACCACGGCTGGCCCGAAGAGGCCGTCCAAGACCACCCCCTTGCTCCCAGAGATCTCTCGGTTCACCCTGGTTGCTAGCTTGGTTTCCCTGAATGAGTCTCTTCGTCTCTTTTCCCGTCAAGTCTCATGGGCAGGGCTTCTGAATGGGCTGGTGGGGATATTTTTTGTCGCAACCGCAGGCGAGCGCGCCAGCGGCGAGTGAGGTCCGAGCGGGCCGCGCAAAAGCCGAATTGCCGAACGCCGACGGGCCAGAGAACTCAGCAGCGCCGCGGCGGGCGGGCCGGCGAGAGGGGGGGGGTGCAGGCTGCGGCTGCCAGGGGCCAGGTCCTGGAGTACGCACATGCAGGAATTACCTAACAGGGTTGGGGCGCAGCCAAAATGGCGCGGGGGTCGTACCAGGATGTGGCCAGGGAGGCAACCAGGTAATACACTGCGTCGGCTGCCATGGGTAGGACGTACTGGCCCAAAACTGGTGCGCAGGGTGGCGCCACCAGAGTCGCACACCAAGACTCCCGAAGGGAATCTGAACCTGCAAACGGCCGTCCACGGTGTGGTCCCGGTAGGACGAGCGGAGTAGCCAGGACAACGATGGATGTAATCAACACCCTAAACGCCTGAACCACCGATCAATTAAAACCACGCGCGCTCTCGAGCAGGGCACCGACGACTGAGAGCTGACCAACACCAGGGCGATCCACGTCTCGTGTACCGGGGCGAATAACAGGAGGGTGTCATGGGCATCGCCGCCGGGGACCGTGGACGGGTAAACACGGTCGTCCGCCGACCAGGAGAGCACAGGCTGAATCACGTGCGCTCAGGAGCCCCAGGCGCCCCACGATGGGGATGAACCGCTGGAGCTGCGGAAACCAGAGGCCGATTCTCAAAGCCGCTGCGACGCTAAGCCGCCTCGGCGGGGGAGACCGGAAAGGAAAGGGGCAAGGTGATCCAGCCGCGGGGAGCGGATCGTTCCAGCGGGGCGGTTGCCTGTGGGCGCGGGCGCGGGGAGTGGAGTGCGCTGATCGTGGTGAGAACAGCTACAGCAGAACCAGGGGCCTACTAGGACAGGTGGACCACGGCCCCAGCGGCAGTCCACTTGCCGGTATTGTCAGCAGACCGCTGCCAGGACCCCAAGGGCGGGGGACAGCGGGTGCTGCGCAGAAGGCGCTACCAGGGAGCGGCTGAAAGCCACTGGTTTGCCGATTACAAAGGGAATACCACCAAGTGCGGGAGCGCACGTGGCCCCGCCCATCGCCGTAGTGAAGGAACCCCGCGAGTCTTCCAGCTGCAGGGCTCGTCCTCCGGGCAGGGGGGGCGTGACGCCCCCATACCGAGTGGCCCACTGTGGCCCACTGCTGGTCGGCATACCAAGGTACCCAAAAGCAGCTGAAGGCTGCGCTTCCGCAACTACACACAGCCACCATAGCGTCCATGCGCGCCGGGCTGCGTCTAGGGTGAAACAAGGGCGGGCAAGCCTGCAGCGCTGGGCAGAAAATGCTACCACGGAGTGGATGACGGCCACTTGTTTGCCGAGTGCAGAGCGAACCCCACCCTGTGTGGGAACGCGTGTCGCCTCGTCCGTCTCTGTCGTGAACGACCCCCGCGAGCCTCCTCTCTGCTGCTGGGCCCGTCCTTCGAGCAGGGAAGGCATGACGCCCCCATTCCGAAAAGTCCACTGTGACCCACTGCTGGTCGGTCGGCATACCCGCTGAAGGCGGCACTTTCTCCAAACTAGTCACAGCGACCTTCGCGCCCATGCGCGGCAGGCTGCGTCGAGTGTGAAACAAGGGCTGGCGAGCCCGCAGTGACTCCTCCAGCGGTGGGCGTTCCAGCGCTGGGAGCACTGCCAGGGAAGTGACAACGTTCACACTGTCTGCGGCTTCTTGACTCACCTGTGTGTGGCCGCATCGCCCTTTGCAGCATTCCGAGCTGCCGCCGCGACACTGTTGGCGGGTGTGGGCGCCATGCCGGGCGCATCTCCGGCCTCCACCAAATCTCTGCCCTCTGTAGCGCTCGCAACTGCCGCCACGATACCGTTGCCAGGACAGGGCGCCATTTCGGCCACACCTTCCGCCTCCACACCGACGCAGCCCGAGGGACGCTGATAGGAGTGAGGGGCTGTAGGGACGCCAGCTTGCCTGCCACCGCGAGGGGAAGGGGCCGACACGTTGCTGCGAACGACCGCCTTTTCAGGCTGGAGCTCTCCCAGAGGACTGCTGCAGCTGAAGGCCGCACTTCCGGAAACAATTCCTGAGTGGCCGAATTTGGAGGAACGTCTTCGAGCGCCGGCGCGCCCCCTGCAGCGCTGCCAACTGTCGCCACAATGTTGCCTACAGGAGGGGGCGCGTTCCTTTTGCGGCTGGAGGCCGCACCTTCGGATACAACTTCCTGACGGTCAGAATTGGGAGGGACTTTTCCGAGCGCGGGCGCGCCCGCTGCAGCGCTGCCTACTGTCGCCACGATGCTGTCTCCAGGTGGGGACGCGTTCATTTTGCAGCAGAAGCCCGCACCTTCGGGTACATCTTCCTGTCGGTCAGAATTGTGAAGAACTTCGCAGAGCGCGGGCGCGCCCTCTGCTGCGCAGCCAGCTGTAGCCACGATGCCGTCTCCAGGAAAAGGGGGCGCGACCCTTTGTAGCTGAAGGCGGCACTTACGGAAACATGTTCCTGACTGTCAGAATTGTAAGGAACGTCTCCGAACGCGGGCGCGCCCTCAGCAGCGCTGCCAATAACCGCCACGATGCTGTCTCCAGGAGGGGGCGCGTTCTTTTGCAGCTGAAGCCGCACTTTCGGGGACATCTTCCTGACAGTCAGAAATGTGAGAAATGTCTCCGACCGCGAAGCGTGAAGAATTACACGCGGCCCCGCCTGTCACCAGGTTCTACTGGGAAGGGGGGACCGCAACCACCCCCAATCGAATGTCATGAGAGGCTGACTCATCCCATCGAATGGATTGCTACTCGAGGTGGATCCACCTGTAATGAAATCCTGTTGCACGCGACCCCATCCTTAACGGGACCTCAGTAGAGGTGGATTTACTACCTCTGAGGGTATTATTTGAAGATGACAATTCTTTACGACGGGTTGCTTCAACCTTGACAAGATTCGGTTGGAGGGGGACCCACCCGCGACCCGGCCCCCCCGACCCACCCACCCGCGACCCACCCGCGACCCACCTGCGACCCACCCGCGACCCACCCGCGACCCACCCACGACCCAGCGGTCCTCGACACACCCGCGACCCACCGTCGACCCACCAGCGACCCACCTGCGACCCAACCCGCGACCCACCCACATGCGACTTTGCACTGGGTTACTGCGACTTTGCGCAACTGTATTCCGTTTGCGCGACTTTGCACTGGGTTTCTTTTTGTTGGGAATGCACACACCAAAGTTTCTCGCGTGGAGGTGGATCCATCACTACAAGGATTGGATTGCAGGCAACCCCGCCTTAAATCGTATGCGGGAGAGGCGGCGACAAACTAACCCAGCATCAGTGGAGCTGAGGAGTTCGTGTGGTTGCACGGAGGAGTTGAGGGAGAGGGAGGATGGAAAGGTGTAGCTTTGCACGTATGTATGCGCTTACGTTGCAAACATCCCCCCAGGGTGCCGAACACCCCGATGTAGCGGGCGAGGGCGCCGAACGGGCTCCCGACGTTGTTGCTTCCCCACGCACCATCGAAGTTGGTCTCGGCGACCACCGAGGGCGCGTACCTTTTCAGGGAGGCAGGGGGGAAGATTGGGCATACGCACGTCTCCGAGGACGACGCGGAGAGTGGACGGAGTACCACGCTTGGGCTGTCAATGCGCAGTCCATCGCCGCAAGGCTTTGGGTGGCTTTGGGCCCCTAGAGGCCCCAGCTGCCCGAGACACCCTCGGAGAACGACCCGAGTCCCCAAACCATGTTTGGGCGATCCGTGCGCAGCCCAGCAACGCAAGGCTTTGGATGGCTCTGGCCCCCTTCGAGGCCCCAATTGCCCAAGGCACCCTCGGAAAACGGCCCGAGTCCCCGACGCCGTGCGGCCACCCCGAGTGCCCAACTGACTCGCCACACGGTGCGGTCACCAAGCCGTTTGGGGGCCCCCGAAGGTTGGCGACCGCACGGCGGCGCGATGGACAACCAGCACCAGCAACGGCAGCGGCGGCAGCAGCAACAGCAGCGACACCGAATGAGAATCACAGCAACCTGTTTACACTTGAGAGCTCCGCACGCTCCGCGAGACATTCCTAGGACTGCCTGTGCAGCACGCGCCAGCCTATTGCTGGAAATCGGTGAAGCTATGGGAGCAAGAGAAAGAGAGAGAGAGAGAGAGAGAGATAAAAAAAAAGAACTATGGAAAGAGAGATGGAGAGAGGGAGACGGAGAACGACGGCGAGGGAGGCATGGGGACGTGCAACTTCCGATCTCCACAACGACTGGAAAAACTGCAGCGCAAGTAACTCCTCACAACCAATCGCAGCTGCCAGATAGGGGGAAGCCTAACGCTTTCCAACAAAAAGAACACGGCACGCACCACACGAACTCTCGGAGGTCTGTGCGGATTCCCTGGGTCGGCACTGACGTGCGGAGCGCGCCATGGGCGGCGTCAGGCCAGAGGCGCCGCTGGGGAGGGGGATCCGTCGCCGACCCAAGGAGTCCGCGTGGACCCCCGAAGGCTGTTTGGATGCAGGTACCCATCGGTCGGAAGAAGTAGGTAGAAACACGAAGTGGGAAGGCGTTGGAAATAGATTGGGTGTGCGCCCGCCCCCTGAAGAGGACGGAAAAAGTGAAAAGCCACTCGATCATTGAAGTAGAAGGCGCTTGAAGTAGGTTGGAATCTGGAACTCTAGAAATACCTACTTTCAACGACCGATGGATAGTTGTTCCTCGATGGTCGAAGAGAGGAAAGGGCACTTGGGGACATTTCAGCAGAAGCGGCAGTCACGCCAACTACTCCAAGAACGCCCCCATGGGATGTCTGTGTGCAGGGCCTGGGGGTGCAGGAGGAAGAGCGAGGAACGATGCGGGGGGCGCACACCCATCCTCGCAATACAGCCAAAGTTAGCAGAACAAATGTACGCGTGGGGCAGGATCAGCCAGCATCGAGTCGGGCAATCGGATAGAATCGAGATGTGCGTCGGATCGGGCCGCACCGACACAGAGTTAGCATCGGATATCGCCGGCGCCAGGATGCACAACGGCATCATGCAAGCATGGGTTGGGCCGCGATAAATCTAGGAGCGAAAAATGAGGGGAGGTGAGTATCGTTTCACCGATCCCCATCCTCACCAGCGTGGGCTGGGCCCCACTGGCCGATTTGCCCCCCTAGATGGGGATATAGGCCGCATTCTTCGGGTCTCGAGGGGTGTATCCCCTACTGGGGGTGTAATATGGTGGAGGTCTCGAAGGGGATGAGCATGGGGATGGGGATCGGCTTAAACGATCCCGAGCAGTGAAGGCTCTTAGAAAAGGGCCTCCTTGAGGGCCCCATGCACGGGCCCTTCAGGGCCCGCGAGGGGGACTCTAGGGCCCGAGAGGGGCACCTCTCTGAAGGGGCCCTGGGACACACAAATAAATGCACACAACTAAAAGGATTCCCCCTATTTCCATATTTTCGGAGTTTTTGTCTTCCCCCCCACTTCCCATAGTTTCCAATGGTTGCTTGGGGATCGACGATTAATTGTGTCTGTGTGTTTTTCCCCTCCTGACATTAATCGCCCCCGCATCAATCGGGGCCCAGCTCGGGCCGCAGCGGGCTAAGTCCAGATGGTTGGAATCGAATAGGCTCGAGCCTGCCGAGGCCGACAGGGGGGGGGGGGGGGGGGAAGGAGAGGAGGGGAGGAGGCAAGGCGAGGAGGAGGAGAAGGAATGGGAGGAGGGAGGAGGGATGAGGGAGGAGGAGAAGGAGGAGGGAGGAGAGAGGAGGGAGGAGGGAGGAGGGAGGGAGGAGAGGAGGAGGAGGGGAGGAGGAGGAGGAGGAGGAGGTGGAGGAGGAGGAGGAGGAGGAGGAGGAGTAGGAGGAGGAAGGGCCCTGCTGCGGGTGCAGCGCTGTATATGTATTTATGTTGATGTGTTTATTCATATATATATATATATAGATATACATGTATATACATAGGCCCCTCGGACGCCCGCGCTTTGAGAGGCAGCAGCCGCGGCGGCACCGGCCAGAAAAGCGGGTCACCAGGAGATGCAGGGCCGGGGACCGAGGATCGATCGAGGATCAAGGGTCGATGGATCGAGGATCGAGGATCGAGTATCAATCGAGGATCGAGGATCGATCGATCGAGGATCGAGGATCGAGGACCGATCGAGAATCGAGGACCGATCGAGGATCGAGGATCGATCGAGGATCGAAGATTGGAGCCCTGACGTGCGCCCCCCCCCGCCCCGCGCATTGCGGCACATGCAGACAGGGGGCTGCCACGGTGAAGCGGTGCAGCCTTGCTGTGGGGTTGAGAGGGCTCATGCAATGAAAACGTATAGAAAGGACGGGTGGTGAGGACGCAAGGCCCTTGGAGGCCGGAGTTGGGATCTCTTGGGCGGCGGGCGACCACGCCCCCAGGAGTACCCTGAGAGGCTGGCCGGTGGAAGCAGCAGAGGACGGGCCGCAGAGGCAAGGACACGAGGGTACCCTAGAAAAGGCTCGCGTCCTTGCTATGCGCGTTGACTGCGTTGCCATAATGTGGGATGGTGATGAAGAAATGCCCCATGGGTTTCGTCGTCGTCGTCTTCGTCGTCGCGAATAGGATTAGTTTCATCGTCCTCTCAAAATCTTGCCTAGCAACAGAAAGCTGTTTTTCCAAAATTCCCCCTTGATCTTTCCGCAACCGCCACTCTAGACTCTAGATTAGGCGCCCAGGACGACGCCACAACCGAATACCGACCAGACTGATAACGAAACCGAAACCGTTCGGAACCGACTGACCGAAAGCGGGCTGGAAGGACGCAACGACGAATCATTCCGTCCGAGTTACCGCCTCGCAGCCGAAAAAACCGAATCGCAGTTACCCCTCATCATCCCTCTCCCCCTTCTTATCAACACCCTCCTCCATGCTGGAACGCATTCGTTATGATTATGCCGAATCGGCACGGAGTCGAAATCGAGTCGTATCGGCGGCGCCAGGATGCACAACAATGCCAGTCGAGCATCGGGCCGCATCGGATCGACAAAGAATCGACATCGAAACTGATCGAGCCGTGTGAACTCGACATCGAATCGGATCGACATGGGCCCTGAAAGGTCTGCTTACCTTCCCCCGTACCCCTCTTCCCCATGGGCGACCGCCGAGGACACCTCCTCACCTCGTACGAGGCCGCGCGGTGCACGACACTGTGCCGCGGCATCTCCTCCCGCACGATGCCCAAGATCGAGCCCATGATCTCACAGCCTACCAATAAGAAACAGCAGCACGCAACACTCTGCACAAAAGAACCCGCGCGAGACTCACTGCACACACTACGCACAAGGTGCCCACTGGCGAAACTATACATGATAAATGTTCGGAGGTCCGCGTTGATTTCTTGGGTCGTTCGTTGCTGGACGCTGAGCCCCCTTCCACGCGAAGCGCGCCACGGGCAGCCTCACCGTGCATGTGTCTTCTTCTTTGGCATGCGAGACATCTAGATCACCTGGCTTTGCCCGCCGCGCCCCACGATGCGCGACGTGCAGCTATCCTCGCGCCCTCGCGGGCTGCTCTCTGGCCATGGCCGCGACACGCCAGGTGTGAAACAACTTCGCGCCCCCAGCTGTGACCCAGGACCATGCACATCAGACAACAACCAACTGATTCGGGCAGGAACACTGCATAAACGTAAACTGTCGGATGACCGCGCGGATTTCTTGGATCTGCGCTGGACCACACTCCCTGGCGCGCTCCGCGCGCCAGGGGCGGCGCTGGAGGCGCCGCCAAATGGAGCCAACGCCGATCCAAAGAATCCGCGCGGAGATCCGACAATTACAGATTATGCAATATCATTCCTCTTCGAATGAATGATTCAACTGAGGGGCAGAAAGGTATCAATACAGTCGGGGCTCGACCACGTGAAACCTTCCACAAGAAACCCAACCCTGAGACCCCACGGCGTCCACTGATTTTTGATGTGGGCACGTCACGCTTTCCATAGTGAAAACATCGAAAACCAAGAAACCCACGGCACCCTGGAGGCAAGAAGGGTGGTACTTGGCATGGGTCTCCACTATACCGCTGCTCCCAGGACCTCTCCCGAGGTGCGTCCTGACCAGGAGTTTCTAGCAAAACCCATCCGCGGCGACGAGGGCTCTCCAGGACGAGCAGCGCTATGGGTAAGTATCGTGCCTTCGGACGACCGACACATGGGTGCGGTAAACATGGGTGCGATGCCCAATCGCAAGCGCCGACCCAAACCGACAGCGGCCACCGTTGGACAGGCGGCTGCCGTCTCAAATGGCAACGTCCGCGGCAAAACCGACAGCGATCCCTCTGCAAATTTGACGGGAACTGCTGCTGCTGGTCTTGTGAACGTTTTCTTATTCGGCGTTTCGACATTGGGTGAGGGGGGGGGGGGCTGGCTCTGGGTCCTTGCTTGATGCGACTGTTTGCAGCAATGTGTCCTGTGGGGGAGACTCTACCTGCCTGGAACAGGCACCAAACGCAGACAAAAATCTACTCCACGGGGGCGGTGGGCGGCGCGGGGTGCGAGGACCCGCGCCGATCGGCAAAACAGCGAATGAGAGAACGATCGCCTGTTGGCCTTCGTACCCGTTGTTTGCGCACCCATGCCGGTCCCTCCGAATCTGCTCCTCCGACCAGCCAACAAGAGAAAGGTCCTTCGTGCACCAAGTGCGGCTCGCCGAGGAAAACTCCGCCGCCAAGGCGGCGGCCGCGCGCAGCTCTGCACGCGAGGGGAGGCGCAGGACGCGAGCCACTGCACGGGCCCAAGCAGCTTGAGCCCACGTGGATTCAGGAGGGCCGCCGAAAGGTGGGGGAGGGGGACGGGGGGAGAGCAGGCACATGCCCTCCTCCTCCTCATCCTCCTCCTCCTCCTCATCCTCCTGCCCCTCCTCCTCCTCCTCCTCCTCCTCCTCCTCCTCCTCCTACTTCCCCACCTCCTCTTCCTCCTCCTCCTCCTCCTACTCCTCCTGCCTCTCCTCCTCATGAGCTGTGGGCATTGCTGTCCTCTTCACACTGGGCGACCTTGCCTTCTTTCGGGCCCGGGGACCCTCACATCTCGATCCAGCCAGGAAAAAGCAGCAGCACGATTGGGGACGGAGGCCTCGCAAATGGGCAGGAGTCGACGGGGTCGGACGCCGAGGCATCGCCGATGTCTCGGCTCGGGGATCCACGGACCCGACACAGCCCAGACCCAGGTCAGTCAAGCTTTGCAAGTTCCTGCAAGATAATGCGGGATCCTGCACCCCAACCCGGGTCAATGCAAACCCGGATCTGCAGGATGCTGCAAGACCCGGCGCTCTGACTGACCCCCGTTTGCATTGAGCAGGGACCGACCGTCCCGGCATTCCTATTGATCTACCACAATAGGTTCTCAGAGCCCCCCGAAGGCCCTCAGAACAATAACAAAATTCTTAGAACATTAACTCGATTGTTTTACTACAAGCCGACCTCGGCCAGAAATGTTATGAGAACATTCCGTGCGGACCACGAAAGGTTCCCCAGAACACTCTTTGGCGGGCCTATGGGCAATCCAGGACGATTCGCCACTGCTTGATTGCGCTGACCCCCGTCCCTTGTGGGGAAACCAGAATACAACGACAACCGCCACTCCCTGGACCCCTCCTGGGGTGCGTTCCGACCAGAATTTCGAGGCGAATCCAGCGGTGGAGACGAGGGGACAGCGAGGGAAGCGAGGGACAGCAGAGGGAGGAGGAGGAGGAGGAGGAGGAGAAGGAGGAGGAGGATGGACAGCGAGGGAAGGGTAGCAGAATGGATACCTTGTTCCTCCTCTGCTCTCGAGCCCCGAGCGGCGACGCCTCGGTATATAACACCGGCGAGAGGCACTGGCGACGCCGGGCCCGCAGCTCGGACCCCATAGGGGAAGCCCTCGCCGCCCTCGTGAGAGTCGGGCCGGGCGTGTCCTCCTACAGGCGGATTTTGGTCGATAGTCCACCAATGCTCCAACATGGTCAACAGAACAGAATGGAAAACATCGTTCCCTGAATATGTTTGGATACTCGTGAAGATTCCTCCTGTAGAGGGACGTGCCCGACTTCACGTTACAGGGTAAAACATCCACCCTCATCAGAATCACCCCGGCACGCGAAACCGTGTAGGAAACGCACCCAATGAAGCAATGGAACAGGGCAGCGCTGTTTAGTAAACGCCCAGGGCCGTTCAGGGTGGGTTTTCCTCCCTCGACTCTTGTGCCAGAGGTGCCCTGTTTCGTTGCACGTTCCCGCTGGTGCACGATCTCTGTGCTGGGCGCTGCAGCACTGCGATTGAAGCCAGCCTGGCGCAGAAAACGACGAGGGAAGGGACTTCGCCTCAACGCGCAGAGGAGAATAGGGTGGGATAGGCGCTAAGGGAGAAGCTCCATCCACGACGCCTGCACGGGAGGGGGATAAGGAGGATGGATGGGGAGGCTGGAGGAGGAACTTGTCACGGTCTGTGGCCAGGAAAAGCTCTTGTGAGTGAGTGGGAAAAAACCTTGTGCTCTTAGATTAGAGGAGCATTACGGCATGCATATCGAATGGATAGATAGAGAAACGAGGACTAGCGAGGAAACGGAAGGAACGAGGAGGAGCTGCAAGGGCTGATATCATCTCCCGCCTCGTCCTGTAGCTCCCCGTTGCTCTCTCTCTCTCTCTCTTTCTCTCTCTCTCTCTGATTCACTCTCTCTCCCTCCCTGTCTCCCTCTTCGGGGATCAACTGACCCGGATCAATCCAAACTCAGGTCAGCCAGGCCTTGCAACATAATGCATGACCCTGCAGGATCCAGCACCCGAGCCCAGGTCAATGCAATCCTGGCCCTACAGGGCCCATTTAAGATCCGGCTCTCTGACTGACCCCCGTTCGCATTGAACCCATTCTCTTGAGCCCCGATGACCCCCGTTCGCATTGAACCCCTTCCCTTGAGCCCCGAGGGAGTCGTGATCTCAGTGCCCCGGCCCTCCTGCTGGCGGCGAGCACGAGGGGGCCGCGCGAGGGAGCGGCCCTACACAAAAGGGCGAGTGGCCTCTTGGAAGGCAAGGAGCTCACTCGAGGGGCCCAGGGGCTTCTGAGAAGTTGCATCGGCCCCCGTCTCTTGTGCCCCGATCTCTCTATCTCTCTCTCTCTCTCTCTCTCTCTTTTGTTCCGCTCCGCCATCTCTGACGGGGCCCAGGGACACACGCATAAACACACACCAATGCCAGAATCCCCTATGTGTGCCTGTTCGTTCTGGGTTTTCGTCTTCCCCCCCCCCCGCGTCCCACAGTTTCCCATACCCTCCCTGGGAATCGACGATTCATTCATTGCGTCTGTGTGCTTCCCCCCCCCCCCCCGAATATCGCCGCTGCTGCCCCCCCGCGCCATCGGTCGACAGCGGCGGGAGGGGCGCGACCCCCAGACGGGGCGCGCGAGCGCGCGCTTGGCGCAGCGCGCCTGCGAGCGGCCGCCTGAGAGCCCCGGAGGGCCGCCAGGGAAGGCAGGGGGGGGGGGGGGCGGCTGATCTCTCAAGAGCCATCTTTGAAAGGGGGCCCACGGAACACACACAGACACACACACACACAGACTGCACGCACGCACATACACACATACATCCATCCATCCATCCGTCCGTCCGTCCGTCCGCCCGCACGCACATACAAACATACATACATGCATAGATGCATACATTCCTACATACATACACAGACACACACAAGCACGCGCACATACACACACATGAATAGACACAACTCCCAGGATACCCCACAGTTTCACATATGGTCTGGACGTTCGCTGCCCCGCCCACTCCCCATCTGCTCCCACACCTCTTCCTGGGGACCGACGACTCTGTGTGCCTGTGTGCTTCCTCCCCTCCTGATGAGGGGGGCGCCTTAGAAGCCGCCCTGGTTGCTCAACAGCCCTCTTGTACCCCCTGGGACCAACCCATGCGACCTACGGCAGGTTCGTGTCGTGACGACCCCGGCGTTGGTTTCTGAGATTGGGTGAATCGTTCAACCTTTGAACGATCGGCGGCTTTTCGACCGCCCGATCGTTCCATATAAGCCGATTCTGGGCCACTGGCGGCGTTCAACCTTGAACGCCCTCGGCGGGGTCGCCGCCGGTCGACACGACGCGAACCTACCGTACCCCCTGGGACCAACCCATGCGACCTAAGAAGCCCCAGGCCATCTTCGAGTGCCGACCCCTCGCACCGCCCCCCCCCCTCTGTGCGCGCCGCCAGGCGTGGCGCACAGCGCCCCGGCAGGAAGAGGACGAAGGGGAGGGAGGGAGGAGGACGAAGGGGAGGGAGGAAGAAGATGGGGCAGGAGGAGGGAAGAGGGGGGGAGGGAGGAGGGAGGATGGAATATGCACGTCGCGATGTTGCCAGCGGGTGCCCGCCTTCGTTCGGGCGATGGCAGGACTGGGCTTGGTGGGACCTGGTTTAGAGATCTGTACAGTGGACACCCCCCCCCGTCCCGGCCTCCGAGGGAGACCCCAGGAGAAGCAACCCCACAATAAGACGAAGCCAGTACGAGGATGAAATCAGGGGAGCATTAATAGCGAACCTCTGAGATCCGGTGGCCCTGGAGGACGTCTCGACGTCGCGGCCTTCTAAGAGCGTTCGGGAACGCTCTGAGAGCGTTCTGGATCGTTCTGGAATGGATTTCTCCTCCTCCTAGCCCCGTCCGAAAGAGGGGCCCAGGAGAAGCAACCCCCTCAACTCCAGGAGCATCTGGCGACGGCCTGAGAAGCGGCACCACAATCTGACTCCTCAAAGACTCCGCGCACCACCAGGGGGTCCCGATGCGGCGAGCGCATGTGGAGAACAAACTGACGAGCTGGCGGCGACTGCAGCTGCGCATGCGCCAGCAGCCCGTAGCGCTGATGAACTGATCAAGCAGCGCGATGAGGTACACGATGTTACCAGGGGCGATGAAGGACATGTGCCTGTGCGATGGCGACTGCATCCGCCACCCTGTGGCAGTGGCCGACTCGGGGCGCGTAGCTCGTTCGCGCAACGGCGGCGCTGCCAGGTCTCCTGGGACGCGGGTGGACAACACCACCTCGAGCGGGTGCATCTCGTGAGGCGCGGTCGGGCCTGGACGTGCTGGCTGGGCCGGCGCGCACACGGCGGCATCGCGGGGCGGAAGCGCGGACGAGCGAAGCAAAATGGCAGGCCGATCGCGCATGGAACCGCACGGGGAGGGAGGGGAGGGGTGCTGCGACGATGCCCCGGGACGGCGGTTCGTGTTCGATCGATGCCTGGCCGCTGATTCCCCGCATCGGTGCTAAAAGGAAATGGCAAGGAGGCCCCGCCTCGAACCAAGCCCCTGCAAACGGGGCGTTCGCAGACGGGCTGGTAGCCACTGGTGTTTTTTCAGTGGTGTTTTCAAAAACAAGATCTGCCTCGCACAAGTGCGGCGAGGCGACCGCCCCCGCCGAGAGACAATGAGGATGCATCGACGCCTCTGTCGCCCCGAACATTCAAGCAGCGGTGCGGGGCAACCGCCCTGCCACCCCGTTCTCGCCCGAAGAGGCCCGTTACCTACCGCCCCGTTTCGAGGGTGGACAAACCTCCCTTTAGTAAACCTCCCTCTCGTGAAAGCGGCCCGGGACCGAAACCGACGGACCTGGGCCCGCAAAAATGACGGCGGCGACGCCCTCTCGCGAACCGAACACGGCCAATTCGCTGATCGGCGTGTCAGGGTAGGAGGTCTGTCCACCCCCGACCGTTTACTGACGCCCCGCTTGCGGGGGCTCGGCGCCTGGGCGGGCCCGCGGCGCCGGTGCCTCGTGGGCGGCGGCTCGGCCAGCCGACGCCTCGCCTCGCCGGCCCGCCCGGCACAGGCCCTCGGCCTCGCCCCGTGGCCCGTGTGGCCGCTCTGGTGCCGCCGCGCCGCGCCGCCACTCTGCAGCCGCGTGCCCCGCCCCCTCGGCGTGCACTCCGCACCTGTGGACTGCACGTAAGAGCGACCCCGGGCAGGAGTGACCTTTGGCGCGCGGATTTGAGGGGGCCCCGCGAAACCGCGCAAGCCGCCACGGTCGCATCGCATCAGCGATTCGTGGCGCGCGCCTCGAAAGACACCCAGCGCCAACGGGCAACTGCGCCAACGGGCAACTGCGGCCAGGTCCTGGCGGGCGCCGCTGTCAAGAGGCCTTGGCCCAAGAGGGAAGCAGCGCCGTGGATGGGGGGGGCAAAGGCAGCGCCGCGCGGACGTGTCGTGTCGGCGCTGGACCGCCCTCCCCGGGCCGGAGGCGCCGCCACGGGGGCCCGGCGCCGATCCAAAAGCCTCCGAAGGTCTGCGAGCATACACCTTAGGCGATGCTTAAGAAAACCTAAGTTTTCGTCCAGAGTCTCGATTCTTCTTAACTTTTCAATGTAAATCCCAAGATTTTGATAGAAGTTCTGGGTTTTATTCAAATTCTGAGACTATGAATTTCTTAACCCATGATTTCTTGAGCATTTCGCAGGGTGTATGCCGCTTGCTGCTCCCCGACAGGAAGCAAGGGGAGGCCAGGAGGAGGAAAGAGGCAGGAGGAGGCAGGAGGGAAGGGGGAAGGCCAACGAAAGGGGAGGGGGGGAGGGCGGCCCGCCTCTCGCGCCGAGAGGCAGGTGCTGCCGAAGGTCTGCCCCGCCACGCCGCGCGTGCCAGCGACGAACCTGCGGCCGGCCCCGCAGGATCCCGGGCGGGCGGCACCCTTGGCACTTTCCCTCCTCCTTCTGCGGAGGGGCACGGTGGAGGAGGGGGGGGGGAGGAATACGCATGATGATGATGCCTGATGAAGATGATGAAGATGAAGATGAAGATGAAGATGAAGATGAAGATGAAGATGAAGATGAATATGAAGATGAAGATTATGACGAAGATGAAGATGAATATGAAGATGAATATGAAGATGGAGATGATGCTGATGATGATGATGATGCTGATGATGATGGTGCTAATGGTGCTGATGACGATGGTGATGATGACGATGGTGATGATGCTGCTGGTGATGATGACGATGACGGTCATTATGGTATCCCCTTATGCGCCATCGGCCCCTGTGTGGTCTTGTGCGCTGGCATGCCAAACTGACCCCGCTGCCTGCAAGATTCCAGCCACAGTCGTAATCAAGACTACGAAAACATAGAATGGGCTTCTCAAGACAGGTCTGGAAATCCTGACGCGTCAAAATTGGAGAGGCGACGTGCAGTCATTCAGCACCGAGGCACCCCGCAACGCTGACGGGGCGAAGGGGCCACACATCGGGTGACGCGCTTTCTTCACGGCTAGCCCCGCCGACAGACTCGCAATTTACAGCCAGCTGGAGCCCATTGCGACAACCTTGCACACAAACGTGCGCGCAACCTCTAGCTCGTCATCAACTTTTCCAGCGCACGCTCCCTCTCTCTGCCTCTCTCGTCAGAACGATGTGCAGGCAACGAGATGTTGGTTACCAATTGCCCCACTCACCCACCATTTTCACCGCGTCGCCTGACACGCGAGGCGCAGCGGAAGCCGACGCTGAAGATGCCACTTGCTAACCAAATTGCTCAGGTAGTCCTGCAACTCGCACTTCAGGAAGCTCGTTGGCGCCTCGCCCTGCTTCCGAGACATCCCGACCTGGACGCGCGCGCCGATCATGACCTGCCGCCAATCCTCGTCGCGCAGGGTGAAATTTATCCTCCTCTGGTCCTCGCCGTATGTTGTGTCCACGCGGCACACGCGGATGACCTTGATATTGTCCTCCACTGTGGTTATTCAACCACTGGTAGATCCACTGGATGCCCTTGGCGTTCTGAATACCCGCTGCCTACCCCCTCTTCTTCTGCGCCACGGTCAAAACCGCGAGCTCCCAGATGTCTGGAGCGCCGTGTTCTTGGCCTTCCCCGCCAGCCGTCACCGCCACCGAGCGGTCGTGGGTGCGTTCTTGCATCTTCGTGATCGCCAGCACCGGCTTCAATAGAAAAATATCGAATCGGCACCCTCCCCGTGCGCAAGCCTTCTCGGCACGCCGCAGATACTGCTCCGTCACGGGCACGAGGAACCGCCTGAAGCCCTTGGCGGTGACGTCCTAGAGTTCCTGGAGTTCCTTCTCCGCCTTTGGAGCGGCTCCCTCTGTCCGCGTCTGTCTCGGACGTCTTCCACCGTCCCGCCCGCCACTGCGTGCGCCCCCTTCCCGTGCAGCTGACGGTAGCGTGGTGGGCATGGCTCCGAGCGGTGCTCAAGTCAGGCGTGCTGCTAGAAGAATGCAGGCGACGAAAAGTCTTGCAACTGCCACGCCTGCCTCGAAAACTGGTTTTGAAGGGGCCCTGGGACACACAAATAGATACACACAAATAACAGGGTTACCCATTTTTCCTATATGTTCTGGGCTTTCGTCTTCCCCCCCCCTTCCAATATTTTCCCATATTTTCTGAGGAATCGTCGATTCCTTGTGTCTGTGCTTTTTTCCCTCCTGAGGTTTGCAGCACCCAAGGGGCAACGATGCCTGCACGTGCTGCCCCGCTCCCTCGCGCGGAGAAACTGGACCAGCAGTGCGCGCACTGGTCAGCAATCGCACAGCACTGCAACGGACACGGGGCATCGTGAGATCCACCGCGGGTCTTCGCCATGTGCGCCACAAGCATCCTGGACGAGCCGAAGCGCAGGCTGTGCCACATGCTCATGGAGACTGTCAGCTCGCACTCGAACTCGACCTGCCCCTCCCACATGCCACCAACCTCGCCTCCATCTTAGCCGGGAGCGCCCCCCCCCCGATGAGGGGCACCTCGGTGAGCCTCGCATCGCGCATCGGAAATGCATCCGACGAGTTGCCATTAGACCAGAACGCCTGCAACGCGCGTCCCACAAAGGCCCACCCGTCAAATGGCTCCTCGGTGCTGCTGATGCCCTCCAACCTCATGAGGTCACTCGTGAACTGCCTCGCAAAGGGTTTCGCTGCCACCGTGAGCTTCTCATTCTTGTCGATGGGTGATTGCGCGCTGACAGTGCTGAAGATGATGATGTTGCAGCTGCTGCTGTTGGCGATGATGCTAAAGATGATGATGATGATGATGATGATGATGATGATGATGATGATGATGATGATGCTGATGATGATGCTGATATTGATGATGATTAGGATGATGATGATGATGATGGTGATGGTGATGGTGATGGTGATGATGATGCTAATGATGATTATGCCGATGCTGTTGGTGCTGATGATGAGTCTTATTCTTATCATGATGATTGTGCTGCTGGGGATGATGATGATGATGATGATGATGATGATGATGATGATGATGATGACGATGATGATGATGATGATGATGATGATGATGATGATGATGACGATAATAATGATGCTGATGGTGGCTATGGTAATGATGATGTGGCTGCTGAGGCGAGGGACGGGGAGGACTGTGACGATGTGATGTGGACTTGGGCAATTACGGGACCCGCCCCTACTCCTGACGAGGGAACGAGTCACAGCGCGGACCGACCTGGGAACCAAGAGGAAGGACGCGAAAGACAGGGAGGGCGGCGGGAGGCCCCCTCCCACCCGCAGTGCCCCTTGGATTGCAGGCCGCCGCAGAGGGCTGTGGTGATGCTGGCGACGATGATGATGATGACGCTGATGCCGATGCTGGTGGCGATGATGGTGATGCTGGTGATGACGCCGGTGACGATGACGCTGACGACGAGGATGATGATGATGATGATGATGATGATGATGATGATGAGGATGATGATGGTGGCGACGCTGATGATGGAGATGATGGCGATGATGCTGATGATGATGCTGATCACGACGACGACGACGCCGACGCCGACAACGACGATTATGATGATGTTGATGATGATGGTGATGATGATGGTGATGAGTATTATGAAGATGGTGGCGATGACGATGACGATGACCCTTCTATAGTGGAAACAATGAAGCTGATGCTGATGCTGATGTGGAGGAGGAGGAGGAGGAGGAGGGAACCACATGTCCGCAGCTCGAAGCTGGAAGGAGGAAGAAGAGGAGGAGCGAGGCGAAGGAAGTAAATGAAGCGCACGCACCTGGCAACGTCACAGCAGCGGCTTCATGTCGCAACGCAGGGAGGTTCGCGCGGACCGCCTTCCTCCTGCGGGCGGAAGGTCAGACGCCGACGCAGGAGATCCGCGCAGACATCCTAGCAGCTCTGTCTGCGCATGCTGCCGACCTGTGCTCCAAGATATGCGCCCGAACCCCAAGACTGGCCAGATCCACCTCGTGGCCTGCCCCTCAGCCTCCTGCCTCGCCGCCGCGGTCTCGTCCTCTGGCCTCCTCCTCCTCCTGCCACCGCCACTGCCGATTCGAGCCCGTGGAAAAAAACGATCCCGCTCGGACGGGAAGCGGCAAATCGTAGTGAGCCTGCGACGCGGCTAAGCACGACCCGCGTCTGAGTTGCCGCGGGCGCATGGCCGAGCGACAGCAGGACGATGTCGGCCGCGGCGCCGCCGACAGTGCGCTCCGGGCCGGCCCTCCTGCTCCTGACTTGGAGGCCTCCTACGTTGGGTCCAAGGAGATGGGGGGTCTGAGGATCGCGCCGCGTCGCCGATTCATCGGCAACGTCGGCGATGCATTGACGCCGTCGGTGGACAGAAAATCGGGCTCCACATCAAGCCGCATCGCCAATGCATCGGCGGTGCGGCACGATCCTCCGACCCCATCTCCTCCAGCCACATTTGGGACGTCCGGACTGATCCTTCTATTGATCTTTATGCTCCTGCTGTTCCTCCTCCTTCTGAGCCTCCCCATCCGCTTGAGACCCGAAATCGGTACGGACAAAAAGTGCACGATGCCCAGCAACACAAGTTGTCCAACACCGACAGCGTCGGATGTTGGGCAGCCGGGCTTCCGTCTCAAGTGGGCAACGTCCAGGGCCACACCGGCAGCGAACCCTGCTCAGCATGGCAAGGACATTCTGACGGTCTCCGCCACCATTCTTGATCCTCCTGATCCTCTCCTCCTGATCCTCCTGATCCTGGTTGATCCTCTCCTGATCCTCCTGATCCTCCTCCTGATCCTGATCCTGATCCTCCTGATCCTGATCCTCCTGATCCTCCTGATCCTGATCCTCCTGATCCTCCTGATCCTCTCCTCCTGGTCGAGATTCTCCTCCTGATCCTCCTCCTGCGGAGCCTGGGTTGACGACTGCTGCTGAGCCTGGTGGGAGGCGCCCCACCCTTCTCCCGGGCGTCGCTCTCTTCCCCCGCCACTGAGCACTCCCTCGGGTCCTCGCACCAGTGGGTGCCCGTGTACTCGGACGCCTTCCTGCTGCTCGTTCGCTCCTCCTCCTCCTCGACGAAGGAGAGAGAGACAGAGAGAGAGAGAGAGAGAGAGAGCGAGAGTTTTTTTTTATTCGCGGCGATCACTGGCGTTATTATGGCGGGGGGAAGTGGGGGGGCGGGAGGGGGCATAACATAAAATACCCCTCCCACCGTGTGGGTCCAGTACCACAGGCTACGGTGCAGGACGTCCTGCGGGCGGCAGTGCTGCGACCGCACTGGGGGGGGGGATGGAGGAGCGTTACATGATTTAGGGGAGGGCAAAGGGGGGAGCACAACGTGCGTTAGGGCCCAGAGGGTAACAACAAACACTCTTTGAGCCTCGCACTGACGGGGGGGGGAGGATCGTTCCGTTATTTACGGGGGGGGGGAGGGGGGGGGCATAACGTGCGTCATGGCCCAAGAGGGTGACAAACACACACTCCTCCTGCCGAGCCTCCCGAGCCGCCGTCGCCGCGCAACCCGCCGCGGGCCGCGGGGGCAGCGCCCAGCGTAGCCCGGAGGCGGCGCGGCCGTGCGCAGCTGCTCGTTCACGCGCGCAGCGGCGACGACGACCTCCAGAGGAGGGGGGGGGGCGTCGAGCAGGAGGGCGTCCAACATCAGGGATGTAACATACCACAGCAAAAGCATATCGACTCTTGAAGTACAAAGGCGCTTAGACTGAGGCACCGCGGGGACCTGAACGAGACCTCGCCGTCCCTGGGGGGGGCTGCGATCTGCGACGCTGTCGCCGGATTCGAGGGCTGCTGGTGGGTCCTGCGGACTGAGGCACCGCGGGGACCTGAGCGAGACCTCGCCGTCCCTGGGGGGCTGCAATCTGCGGCACTGTCGCCACATTCGATGGCTGCTGGTGGGTCCAGCGGAGTGAAGCACCGCGGGGACCTGAGCGAGACCTCGCCGTCACTCCTGGGGGCTGCGATCTGCGACGCGGTCGCCACTTTCGATGGCTGCTGGTGGGTCCAGCGGAATGAGGCACCGCGGGGACCTAAGCGAGGCCTCGCCGTCCCTGGAATGGGGCTGCGATCTCTGACACTGTCGCCACTGTCGAGGGCTGCTGGTGGGTCCTGCGGACTGGGGCGGGGACCTGAGCGAGGCCTCGCCGTCCCTGGAATGGGGCTGCGATCTCTGACACTGTCGCCACTGTCGAGGGCTGCTTGTGGGTCCTGCGGACTGAAGCACCACGGGGATCTGAGCGAGACCTCGCAGTCCCTGGGGGGCTGCGATCTGCGACATAGTCGCCACTTTCACGGGCTGCTGGTGGGTCCACCGGGGTGAAGCACCGCGGGGACCTGAGCGAGACCTCGCCGTCCCTGGGGGGCTGCAATCTGCGGCACTGTCGCCACTTTCGATGGCTGCTGGTGGGTCCAGCGGAGTGAGGCACCGCGGGGACCTGAGCGAGGCCTCGCCGTCCCTGGAATGGGGCTGTGATCTCTGACACTGTCGCCACTGTCGAGGGCTGCTTGTGGGTCCTGCGGACTGAGGCACCGCGGGGATCTGAGCGAGACCTCGCCGTCCCTGGGGGGCTGCGATCTGCGACATAGTCGCCACTTTCACGGGCTGCTGGTGGGTCCACCGGGGTGAAGCACCGCGGGGACCTGAGCGAGGCCTCGCCGTCCCTGGGGGGCTGCAATCTGCGGCACTGTCGCCACTTTCGATGGCTGCTGGTGGGTCCAGCGGAGTGAGGCACCGCGGGGACCTGAGCGAGGCCTCGCCGTCCCTGGAATGGGGCTGCGATCTCTGACACTGTCGCCACTGTCGAGGGCTGCTTGTGGGTCCTGCGGACTGAGGCACCGCGGGGATCTGAGCGAGACCTCGCCGTCCCTGGGGGGCTGCGATCTGCGACATAGTCGCCACTTTCACGGGCTGCTGGTGGGTCCAGCGGGGTGAAGACCCGCGGGGACCTGAGCGAGACCTCGCCGTCCCTGGGGGGCTGCAATCTGCGGCACTGTCGCCACATTCGAAGGCTGCTGGTGGGTCCAGCGGAGTGAGGCACAGCGGGGACCTGAGCGAGACTTCGCCGTCCCTCCAGGGGGCTGCGTTAGTAGACACTACGACGCCTTTAAATCTTGATCGGGAGCCTGCAAACCTTCCGATTGGTGCTCGCAGCATCACATGCGTCCATGTTACGTCATCGCCTCCGTTGTTGCAACGCTGATGTACTTCTGCCCCGCATTGCGCAAGGGTTGGGAACGTCGCCCGGGAAATGTGGGGCGGCGGGCGACCAGTGAAGCCGGCAGAGGACGGGGCCACGGAGGCAAGGATTCAAGGGGCACCCTGGACGAAGGCGCGCGTCCGTCCTTCCTGCGCGCGCTGACTGCCCACAGAGCAGGCTCCGGCCGACCCGACACGGCGTGTGGCCGCGGCCGGCGTGCGGCGCAGCCGCGCGCCAGCCGCCAAGGGTCGCTCGCAGGCGAGGGGAGCGGGGCCGGGCCTGCTCGCGGCAAAGTCTGAGACGAGGCCAGGACGAGGACAAAATCAGGTGAGGATACTAGGGGACCACACGCGAACCCTACCCCTCCCCCCACGATTTCTGAGGGGCAGGGTGGGGTTCACTTCGTTCGGGGAATCCCGAGCGAAGTGAACTCCCGAGCGAGCGAAAGACGAGTTATTCCCCAACACGACTCAAAGATGATAGGTGGAAATGGTTCAACAGATATTAGAGACGTCGTACGATAACGATGGGAGCGGCCACCCAGGGGTCCTGCCGTGATGTTGCGAGCCGTTGCACGCATGCGCCAGGGCAGGCGCAAATATGTGCTCGCCCACGGAGCGGGCACGCGCACACTGACCTCACCCGTGCGCCCTTCCGTCACGAACGCGTGCAAACCCAACATCCAAAGCAACCCTCCCCAGGATGCACAAGAACATCCAAAACAAAACACGAAGTACAAGAGGATGCCCTCCGAGAACCGGTCTCGAACTAATACCTCGGTCAGACTGTATCCTGGGCGGTGGATGCGCGTATGTAAACGCCAGCCTTGCATCGGATGCATCCGACCATGAACCATCCGTTACCCATCGGCCGTGTCAGGCTCCGGGCCGTTTTCGGCGGCCCCCGGGGAAGTTGTCCGCGGTCTCCGGTAGCCTCCGACGCGAGAGTTGGACGGTTGCGTTCCACAAGGGGTCCATAATCGTATCCTCGGCCTTCCCCTCAATTCGTGCAGGAGTTCAGACGAAAAGCCCAGCAGTCTCAAATTTGCCATTGCCTCCAGATGTTCTTCAAGCTTGTCCTCCTCGTCAGGCAGAAGGAGAAAGAGCAAGGAGGAACAACTGGAAGAGAAAGGGGGAAGGGAAGAAAAATAAGGACCACAAGGAAACGGATGAGAAGGACCTCCTCTGATCCCTGTGCTCCGGATACTACTCCTCTGGGGATGATAAAGCTCGGGGTCCAGGGGGATAAAACATGTTTTCCCGGAGATCGCAATACAATGATGAAAGGTGATGACGAGGATGATACAGATGATCCTGGACGCTCCATGGGGAACCTGAAGAAACCCTTGGCAACCCTTTGGAAATGCATGGGATACCTTCGGAAATCCGTAAGACTCCTCAGGAAATCCGTCGGATTCCTTAAGGCAACCATCAGATTCTTTAGGAAACCCATCGGACCCCGTAGGACATCCATAGAAATCCTTCGGAAAGCCGTAGGAACCGTGTGGCACTCCACAGGAATAGTTAGGAAACCTTGCTATTTTACATAAAGAAGATCGCAACCTCGATTCGCAACTTTCCCCCGCGATAGTCAAGTTCGGCCTCGCCGCCCCTCTTCCCCGACCAAATCTGTACTGGCCGGGGATGGAAAACTCTCAGTGGCAAGGGGGGGATTTGATATGGGCACGGGGTTATTCCTCCTCCTCTTCTTTGTGGGGGAGGAGGAGGAAGGAAAGACCTCCTCCTCGTCCTCCTCCTCCTCTTTTTCCTCCTCCTCCTCACCGCACCCCTGTGGAAGGCTCATGGCGAGAAGACGCCGGCAGGCCTGGTCCCCGGGCCCGCCTAGGCTGACCGCCATCGGCAGCACCGGCGGCAGCGTCCCGCGCTTGGCCGCCGGCGGCATGGGCTTTCGGCAGCCCGCCGCGCGGCGACGCTTCGCGCGGGTGCCCCTCTGGGGGGGCTGCGCCCCGCCGAGGCGTGCTGACGAGGTCGTGGCACGCCGCGGGCGCGCCTGACTAATTCGGTTGCGTCCCCCCCCTTCCCACACCGCCACCTCCTCCTCTTGCTTCCCCCCTTCCGCTCTAGATGCTCCTTCGTCGGTGCCCCAGAGCCAGGGATCTCCTCCTCCTCCTCCTCCTCGTCCTCCTACTCCTCCTCCTCCTCCTCCTCCTCCTCCTCCTCCTCCTCCTCATCATCCTCATCCTCATCCTCCTCTTTTCCCTCCTCCTCCTCCTCCTCCTCCTCCTCCTCCTCCTCCCCCTCCACCTCTTCTTCCTCCTCCTCCTCCTCATCATCATCATCAGCAACATGATCATCGTCATCAACGTCCTCATCAATTTCGTAATCATCACCCTCATCGACATCCTCATTGTCATATCGTCATCATAACTCATCAGCATGGTCGTCATCATACTCACCATCATCAATAGCATAGTCATCATAGTCGTCATCATCATCATCATCAGCATCATCAGCATCAACATGATGATCATCATCATCATCATCATCATCATCATCATCATCATCATCATCATCATCATCATCAACATCAGCATCAGCATCATCATCATCATCACGAACATCATCGTGCGATCAACCGCACCATTCTCATAATCATCATCAGGGCTCTCCCAAGCCTAGAGAAAACGAGGTGTCACTAGTGACAGCCTCCCGTGACCCCCTCGAATCGTCGCCACTCAGAATGCTGAGCTGGCCCGGTGGCGTGACTTGCCGCAGGCAGCTGGGTGATGCACCACGCAGATTGCACCACGTAGATTGCTCCACCTAGACCGCACAATATACACTGCTTGAAACAATAGAGAGCGCGTTCCACTACTCGAAAAGTGACTACTCACAAATGGCGAGGATCTGCCGGGGGGAGATCTACGAGAAATTACATCAGAGCAGACATCTGTTTCTCGCACAATTGCGAGCAGGCACTTTGCGAGTAGTGGAACGCGCTCGGTGAAACAAACTATTTAGGGTCCACGTTGGCTAACATATACAACATTAGAGAACACACCCAGCGCCACAAAAAATCCGCGATACCATAGCCCCCGCCTCTAGCTGTGGGCCTCGACACCGTACAAGACCTATAGACACTTTGTGATTTGGCATCCGTGGCCTGTTGGCGTCCAGGACGGCCCCGAGACGGCCAATACGATTAGGTCGGGCATCTCCTCGTACAGGCGGACTTCGGCAGAAAACTAAAGAGGGTCAAAAAATATTCAAAAATAGTAGGAAATAATAGGAACAGCGTCCCCAGACTGTTTTCTGACTATTTTTGAATATGCTCCTGTAGAGGAACACGCCCGACTAAACAATACGACCAAAAAACATCAGGGGCCCCAAAGGGGCCTCCAGAAACACATGCATTCCCCACCCCACCTGCTGGGGCTGTTAAGAAAGACCTCCCGACCCGCTTCGCACACCCTGCATCCCGCGGCCGCCATGCCTAGACTGTGCCACTGCCTCCTGGGTATATCCCGCCTCGGCCCTCGACGCATGACGACCTGCGAAACGCGGCCGCCTGGCCCAGAGTGTGCCGGTGCTCCCTGGGCATCCCGCCTCGCGCTCTCGGGAGGGGATCGCCCGGAGCCAAAGAATGGATGCTCCCCAGGCGTCTCAAGGATTTTCGCGCTCTCGCCCTCTCGGGGTTCTGAGAGCCCAAGGGCTGGGCGACGCCGACGGGTGCGGTCTGCACAAGGTACGGTTCGCAGCCCGAAGCCTGTGGGGCGGGGCGAGGGAAAGTCACACCACAGCGTAGCCTTGGGTCGGGCATGTCCAGCTGCAATAAGAATGCTCAAAAACATTTTAAAAAATAATACGGGGAGGTTTTTGTTCGACAAATTGTGACCATTGTTGCATAACTGTTGGACTACTGGCCTTTTCTTCAAAAAATCCGCCTGTAGGAGGACACGCCCGACCTGAACGTAGCCACACCCCGTCTACAGTTGCCGAAAGACGGCAAAGGGAAGGACACGCCTCCCGGCGTGCCCCAGCGCTCTGTCCCGCAGTCCCGGGCCCGGGAACCCAAAGGTGGCCTCAGGACTTCGAGAGGCCAGGCCACCAATCAGCTCCCATGTGTGTCCCTGCTGGGAGGCCCAGACCCGACTTCACGGGCGCCATCCTCCCTCTCTGTTGAAATTTCATACTATACGGAAGGACTGCTGAAATACAGAACGCTAAATGGGAAACGAAGCCCCTTGTCGGCGCCAACAACGCCTGGGTGCACGGGAAGGCCTAGAGGAACAACCTTGAGTGACCTAAGGAACATCGAGCCCCTTCCGAACCCAAAGCGGGCCTTGTTTCAGCGTCGTGACTGTATACTATTTATTTACTGGCGAACGAAGACTGACATGTGCATCGTTTCTGGATGGGCTGATCGGGACGCACGTTTCTGGGTGGGCTGGTCAAGATGCGTGAAGCGTGCGCAGGGGTGTCCCTGGCTCCCTGCAGTGCGCTGCTCGATTGCGCGCGTCCTCCATCTTCCCGGACATCGCGCGACCCCTGGTCAGCTTCCTGGCCAAATCTGGCCCACACTCGTTCTTTGACAATGCGTCAAACGCTTCAGACATCATTCGAAGGTAACGAATCGATTCTACACCCGACTCGGCGATGCAGTCAATACCATGTAAGGCAAAGGTGCTTGACTAATTCTTCACCCGACCTGGCGATTGGAACGTGTCCACGCTTCGTTGGAGCGTGAAATACTGCCTTCTGGCTATCTGGCAGTGTCATCCGGCAGGGCGTCTGCCATCTGGTGTCTGCAGCACATTTCAAATAACGCAACCTCGTTGCCGCTATATGGAGCTCTTTCCGGCATACGATCGGGCCGGGCGAAAGGGAGGCATAGCAAAGGGGGGGGTTGAGAATCAGCTCAAGTAGCTGATTTTCCTGGCACCTCCCAGCGCCGGAGGCGGCCATGTATCGAGGAATGGGCCCCTCGGTTGGGCCGAAAGCTGCATGCAGCAGATTTCGTAAACCCCCGTTTCCCTTTCCCGTAACGCCCACCACTTATCGCAATCGCTTCCGCATGGGTTTCTGCAGACCTAGTTGCGGGTGGGTGGGCGGGGTGATTGCGCGAGCAGTGGAGCTAATAACTTCAAGTTCGGCAAGCGATATGCTCTCCTGTCTGAAAGGGGAAAAAATTCTACCATCCTCCCCCCCCCCCACCGGGGTTAAAGAGCGCGTGGGTCACATTGCAACCGAAGCAGCCACTTCACAACCAGATGGGGCATTTTACAACCAGCATGGGTTTTCCCAGAAGGGCACTTTACAACCAGGAAGGCCACTTCACAACCAAGCGAGTAAACGCACATAGACGACGCACGTGCTTCAATGTCCGAAATATCCGTGGGCCCACGCAAGGGAGACACTTCCCTCTCTGAAACGCGTTGGTTGCAAAGTGACCCGTCTGAAGCGAGAACCTCTGAAGTGGCGGATTCCTGCTGGGGTCCAACAGGGATCCCATTGGAAGTCCATTGGCACCCTTCCCACTGGGACCCTGTTGGCACCAGAAGAATCCCATTGGTATCCAACAAGACTCTGCGATCTAGGGTCTGCGGGTGTCCTATTGGGATCCGATAAAGGTGCTTCCTATTGAAGTCCGTTGAGCCCGTCTTAATGGAAGCCGGTTGGAAACCCCATCGGAGAAGAATCGAGAAACCTTCCCAATGGAATGCCGCGGGGAACGCACCGGGGGTACTAGATGGACACCCGGTGGGTATTCTTGTGGGTGCCCGTTCGGAAGCAATAGGAAACGTCTTTCTTGGAATCCCATCAGGATCATCTTGGCGAATAAGAAAGATCTCACATTGGAATCCAATCGGGGTCTTTCCTTTTCGATCCATGCGGGCATACTACTGGGATCCGATCAGGACCCAACTATAACTGAACAGTCACCAATCCTTTTTGACTCCTATTGCGCCCCGATTGGCGTCCTGGTGTTATTCCTATGGCATCCAAAAGGAGCCATTGAAACCAAATTGAAATCAAATAGAGATCCCCTCGCTACAGGCTGGTGGCAGGCCTCGGCCATTCCACGCCCTAGATCTACATCGGTTTTTGAAACCTCGCCTGACAATCCTGCTTTTCTTGGGAATTGAGAACAATAAGCGTTCGCCGCAAAACTCCCAGGAGAGAGGGATACGGCCAAGAAATCGTCGGTTAAACCTTAGCCAATACTCATATAGCTCAACGACTACAGAATTGAATTACATACGAATTGAAAAATCAAGTAAAATTTTACTTGGTGTTTTTTGTTCACGATGGGGGAGGCTGGAAAATATGATGCTGATGAATGGGGGCGGGCGATGTGAGAGATCCGAAGACATGTGAGGCGGGATCGAACCAGGGAGGACACGATTGAGAATGATGATGTGCCAGAGGGACATTAGAAGAGTAGGGGAAGGACGGCGCCGACGGTCGGCATGGCTGGAGTGGCGCGTGGGAACCACGCCCGCCTCATGTCGCAGCAAGCAACTGCGGCAACGTCGCCCATCGAGGCTGCATGTGGCTCAGGCACGTCCGTGAGATTTTGAACTTTGTGTGAGGCCACAATCCTGAACATTTCGTTGGATGCGAAAAACAAAACAAAACAGCAATGACATGGGCGCGGGCACCTCCTTATTCCCCCTCCCTAAGTAAGAGAGGAGTAGACAACGCGCGCATCACCGCTAGAGTATGCACATTATAGAAATAAAGCAGGGTACCGATACGCGTCACAGAGCAGCAGACTGGACGTAATCTCCATAGGGGAGGAATAGACCAGAGAAAACACGAGAGTTAGTGCATGCGTCGAGCAAGTTTGTTCCAGTAATGCGGAAGGTGAATCGAGTACGACTGGCTCCTGAGCAACGAAGCGCGAAACCCACATGAGCACCGACGAGTACTCCAGAACAGGAAGGAGTCATGTGAAACCAGTGTGTGGCATGTGGTAGTAGGACGACGTAGAGCTGGTATATACTCATCGTGACGAAAAGCCATACCATGTGCAATTGGGAGCGCAGCATTTGTGAACACCCTCCTCGGTGAAACCTCCTACGGGGCAACGCATCGGCAAGTGTCACTGGCGCGTCCCTTTCAGCTCCACATGCGGCTACGAAGCGCGCGCGGGGTGCGCCACAATGCGTGTGTGTGTGTGTGTGTCTGTGTGTGTTGGTGTGTGTGTGTGTGCGTGCGTGCGCGTGTCTGTGTGTGTGTGTGTGTGTGTGTGGTGTGTATAAGTGTGGTGCTGGTGGTGGTGGGTGGTGGTGGTGGTGGTGGTGGCGATGGTGGTGGTGGTGGTGGTGGTATGTGCGTGTGTGTGCGCGTGTGTGTGCGTGCGTGTGTGTGTGTGTGTGTGTTGATGCTGGTGGTCGCGGTGGGTGGGCGGGCGGAGTGAATGGGAGGGTGTGGGGGGAGGGGGCGGGAAGGGGGGGGGGCATGCTAACGTCGTCACTTGGGCCTTAGATGGGGCTCCTCATGGGCCACGAGCCGTCTGAGGGGCGCGTCGTAACGGGCGACGCGGGCGCGCGTAAACGTCGCCGTCGGGGCTTCAAGCGAGGCCCCCCGTGGGGCCACGGGACGCGTTAGCGGTGCGCCGTGATGCGTGGCGCGGGTGCACGCAGTGGTTGCCAGTGGAGCTATAGGCGGAGCTCCCTACGCGGCCACGAACCGCGTGAGCGGTGTGCCCTTCTTGGGGGCGCGGGCGCGTGCATACGTCGGCGCTGGGGCCTTACGTGGGCCTCCCTATGGGGCCGCGGACCGTGCGAAGTGTGCGCCGTAATGAATGGCGCGGGCGCATGTGCACGTCGCCATTGGGGCCTTCGGCGGCGCTCGCTTTGGGGCCATGAACACTGTGACAGGCGCGCCGTCATGGGCGGCGCAAGCGCATGCAAACATCGCCGGTGGTGCCGTACAGGGAGCTCGCTGCGTGGCCACGAACGGCGCGCGGGTGCGCTGTCATGGGCTGCGCGGGCGCATGTAAACGCCGCCGCTGAGGCCTTCGGTGGAGCACCCTATGGAGCGTTGGCGCATGTAACATCGCCACTGCGGTCTTGGGTGGAGCTCCCCATGACGGCACGAAACGTTTGAGGGGCGCGCCGTTGCGGGCGGCGCGGACGCATGTGGACGTCGCCACTGGGTGGATTTGGCGGAGCCCCCCATGGGGCTGCGGACCGCGCGAGGGGCGCGTCGCCATGGGTGGCGCCGACGTATGTCAACGTCGCCGCGGGGGCTTTACGTGGGGATCCGTACGGGGCCATGAAGCGCGTGATGGGTGCGCCGTAATGGGCGGCGCGGACGCATGCAGACGTCGCCACTGGGAACTCGCATGCAATTCCCTACGCGGCCACGAAGCGCGTGGAGGGGCGCGCCGACATTGACGCACGGAGCGCAGGACAGGGGCGGGATGATTGGGGGGAGGGGGAGGGCGGGAAGTAAGGTGACGCGTGGCGCCGTCGCTTCAGACCGAGGGCCCCGACGCAGAATTGCTTTGGGAACTGATGCAGTGGGGGTTGCAGAGGGCATGGCAGAAGTGCACAAACCTGTTGGAACAAGGGACGGGGTTGGGCAGACGCACTGCGGCCCTGGGCTCGCGCGATCGCGACGTAGGCCTTGTGGGCCGACAAGCAACCCGACGCTTCCCAGGCAGCGGGGCAACGCTGTGGGATGCTGCGCCGCGGCGCGTCAACGATGTCTTCCAGCATGGCAATTGCAATCAGAGCCCGTCGGCGAAGAATGGCGAAAGTAGAGCGGGAGGAGCGTCCGATCGGAATATGGATTGCATTGGCAGGGCAAAACCAAACTAGAACCCCCCCCGCCTCCTTCCCCCTCCCGCATGTGCCCCCCCCCCCTTCCCGTTCGCAACGCCCCGCCCGCCGCTGCCCCGCTCCCCCCCGGCGGCCCACCGCCGCTTTCCCGCGCGCTGCCAAGCCCGCGCGCCATCAGGCCCTGTCGGCCGCAAGCCAAGCTCAACCATCTCCCTTATCGCCCCCTGCCGCTCGCCCACGGCGCCCGCCGGTATCCGCGGCGCGCCTTGCAATCGCTCGCTGCCCGCCTCTGCGCTTCCACGTCGGGCATGCTCGGGGTCGGCCATCGGGCGGCGTCACCGCCCCGAAAGGCCCCGCGCCCTCGACCAATCACCCCGGCGCAACATGCGCAACCGCTTGCCCGCCGCAGCCGCCCGCTCGCCCGCCTGGGAGGGGGGGGGGCACGGGGTGCCAAGGCGCACACGCCTGATGTGCCGCCAAGGTTCGCACCGAAATATAATACGGAAAGGCCCGCTCCGCAATCGGCGGAGGGGAGGGGGGGGGGAAGTAGGGGGGGGAAACGATCGCGAAGGGGCGGGGGGGGGGGGGGGGCGTCGTTAAATCGAAAAGCCGGGGGGGGGGGGGGGGGGAATCTGAAGGACGGGGGCGGGAAAGGGGGGGGCTCTGCAAAAACTGGAAGGACGGGAAAGGGGGGGGGGAAAGGGGGGCGGGCGGGGGGGGGCTTTTTGCAAAAATAAGAAGGACGGCGAGGGGGGGGCGATGGGGGGGGATTTTGCACATATTGGAGACGGCGGGGATTTCGCAAAAATCTACAGGACGGGGGCGAGCGGGGACTTTGCGCAAATCGGACTACAGGCAGAGTCCATTGCACAGGACACGCGACAGGACACAAGACTCTTCCGACGGCAACATGACCTCCCAGAACCACAGGACACAAGGGCACCCTCTCGGGGCCGCGACCGCGGTCACCCGCGGCCGACCCGCGCCCCCGCGACGGGGGGCCAACGTCGGACAGGACACCAAGGGTGTCCGACAGGCCGCGCCGCCCACCGCGCAGAAAAGTAAATCATGATGCGCCGCACGCGCCCACCTCCCTCTGGGGGCGGTCACGCGACCTGTCGCCATGGCAGAAGACCAGAGAACATGGGCGCGGACGCGGACGGCGCAAACGAGAGGACGCGCAGACCACCCTCCCGCGGGAGAGCGACCTGTCGCAATGGCAGAAGACCAGAGAACATGGGCGCGGACGCGGACGGCGCAAACGAGAGGACGCGCAGACCACCCTCCCGCGGGAAAGCGACCTCTCGCCATGGCAGAAGACCAGAGAACATGGGCGCGGACGCGGACGGCGCAAACGAGAGGACGCGCAGACCACCCTCCCGCGGGAGAGCGACCTGCCTCCATGGCAGGAGACCAGAGAACATGGGCGCGGACGCGGACGGCGCCAACGAGAGGACGCGCAGACCACCATTCCGCGGGAGAGCGACCTGTCGCCATGGCAGAAGACCAGAGAGAATTGGCGCGGACGCGGACGGAACAAACGAGAGGACGCGCGTGGGGACTTCTGTATTGCTCACAATAGAAAAGTCGACATTTCCGTCGGCCTCCTTAAAGGCCCACAGAAATTTCAAATTCAGTTTTTGCAATTACATGGCAGTTTCTTTATTGTGGACAATACAGAACTCCTCACGCGCGCGCGCGTGGGGACTTCTGTATTGTTCGCAATAGCAAAGTCGACATTTCCGTCGGCCTCTTTAAAGGGCCACAGAAATTTCAATCTTAGTTTTTCGAATTACATGGCGGCTTTTCTATTGTGGACAATACCGAACTCCTCGCGCGCGCGCGTGGGGACTTCTATATTGTTCACAATAGAAAAGTTGACATTTCCGCCGGCCTCCTTGATGGCCCACAGAAGTTTCAAATTCAGTTTCTGGAATTACATGGCGGCTTCTCTATTGTGGACAATACAGAACTCCTCACGCGCGCGCGCGTGCGGGGACTTCTGCATTGTTCGCAGTAGAAAAGTCGGCATTTCCGTCGGCCTCCTTACCCACAGAAATTTCAAATTCAGTTTTTGCAATTACATGGTGGCTTCTTTATTGTGGACAATACAGAACTCCTCACGCGCGCGCGCGCGCTCGCACGCGCGCGCGGACGCGCGCGCGTCCGCGCGCGCAGGCGCGTGCGGACTTTCTGTATTGTCCACAATAGAAAAATCGACAGTTCCGTCGGCCTCCCTAAAGGGCCACAGCAATTTAAAATTCAGTTTTTGGAATTACATGGCGGCTTTTCTATTGTGGACAATACAGAACTCCTCACGCGCGCGCGCTGACGCGCGCGCGCTGACGGGGGAATTCTGTATGGTTGACAATAGAAAAGTCGAGATTGTCGTCTGCCTCCTTAAGGCGCCACAGAAATTTCAAATTCAGTTTTTGGAATAAAATGGCGGCTTCTCTATTGTGCACAATACAGAATTCCTCACGCGCGCGCGCGGACGCGCGCGCGTCCGCGCGCGCGCGCGTGGGGACTTCTGTATTGTCCACAATAGAAATGTCGACATTTCCGTCGGCCTCCTTACAAGCCCACAGAAATTTCAAATTCAGTTTTTACAATTACAAAATGGTTTCTCTGTTGTGGGCAATACAGAACTCCTCACGCGCCCGCGCGCGCGGGGACTTCTGTATTGTCCACAATAGAAAAGACGACATTTCCGTCGGCCTTCTCAAAAGGCAACAGAAACTTCAAATTC